CTGGGCCACAGGGAAGCCTCCCGGGAGCAAAAATGGATTCCCAGGGGGCTTTCCTGAGGAGCGCAGAGGTGGGTGGGTGCTGCAAAAAAAAAACACCCACACCTACCTAGTTACTCTCACCTAGCCACGCCCACAGAACCGGTAGTAATAATATTTGCTTCCCGCCCCAGGAGAAATATCTGCCTGTACCTAGGATCGAACTCACAGCCTCCTGATTGTGAGGCAAGAACTCCACCTCTAGGCCATGGTACGGCTGTTTCTATAATTTCTATATTCCTATTGTTATGTCTATATATTTTTTATAATTCAGACATTTCCACATTTCCATTTTAACTAATGCTTAAAAGAATAACTGAGGAGATGATTGACAGGAAGAATTACCTGAATATCATGTTGACCAATCAGGCATTGCTTTGGCACAACTCTTAGGAAGAAGCTGCTGCCCCTTCTGAGCAATTCACCTAATAACAGAGTTGGAAGGGACCTTGCAGGTCTCCTGGCCCAACCACCTACTCAAGCAGGAAACCCTCTATCATTTCAAAGAATTGAGGTTTTCTGCCTGTTCTGTAAAAAATTCTTGGTTGCCTCATCTTGATCTGCATTTCCTCATGTGAGGCAGGCCAGAAGGCGACCACTTCCTCTTTTCGGTTCCCAGGAATAATGGTTGTTTTTTTTTGTCCCTTTAGACAAAATCTTTGGCACATGCCAGTTCTGAAAATAGCAATGTTGTTTAAGCTCTTCCCATTAATAATAATATTTTTTTTACAAAGGTGCCAGCAGTTTCTAAGTGGATGGACAAAATCAGATGAGAAAGTTCCTGTAATAGCTCCACTGGTCACCAGGAAGTCTTCCGAAGAATTACTTCCAAAGGGCTTCTCTGGCAAAATATTTTGAAAATACAGCAATTCCTCCAGACCCTCTGAGTCCAGACTACCTAGGGCAGTGGTGGCTAACCTTTCTGAGCTCCTGTACCAAAAATTGTGCGCACGCTCACGTGCCAGCACCCAGAAGGCAATGCACGTGTCCCCCCATACCCCCTGTGCATGCACGCGCAATCCCTCCCCTTACCTGTACTGTGCCTCACAGCTGATATGTCGGCTGGTTTGAGGCCTTTTTTGGCCTCCCAGAGGCTTGAAAAAAGCCTCTGCGGGCTTTGCAGGATGAATAATAGGCCCATTTTGTCACTTCCAAAGCCTGCAGAGCCTTTTTTTTCAAACCTCTGGGAGGCCCAAAAAGGCCTCAAGCCAGCCAAAAATCAGCTGTGAGGCACATGCATGCGCAGTGAGATAAGTTTGCCTGTGGCTTGCATGCCAGCAGAAATGGCTCTTTGCCAGAAATGGCTCTTCGCCATCACATACCTAGGGTGTTAATTGCATGTAGAAGATCATGCCAATTGATTTTTACTGACTTCTTTTAAACTTAAGGCAGCCCTCCCAGCTCTGCAGGATGGATAAACGTCAAGAAAAGGAGAGTTTTTAACTTTTCCTTCCATGGAGATTATGTCCTGTGTATTTTTTTTTTTAAGCACAACACGGGGGGGAGGGGGGGTAGTGAGTTTTAGCAGCAAAAACAGCCAGTTGAATACACGTGAGAAAGGCTGAAGTCATACACCTAACAAAATAACTTAATAACAGAATTGGAAGGGACCTTGGAGGTCTTTCAGTCTAACCCCCCACCAGCAGGAAACCCTATAGCATTTTAAATGAATCGTTGTCCAATCTCTTCTTTAATTTTTTTTTTAAAAAAATAAAAATGAAAAATGGGGTGTAACTCTGCCTTTGTCCCATTCTGTTGCGGTTGGGAAGCCTTGATTTCAGAATGGACCTGCTATGTGCTACTTAGTCTTATCTTGTTACAAATCCAAGATCCGTGACTAGCTGCTGGTTTCTACCCAAAACCCCCAATATCATTGCTGCAGGTCATGTGGTTCTTTTTTTCCTCCCTATTACTATAGACCACTGGACCTCTGTAACTGCTTGGTGGTCCTCCAAAACAACAAGGAGAAATAGCAACATCAAATGTCTGACCATTTGTGATGGTCCTGAACACACTATTGAAAGGGGTGACTCAGCCACGAAGTAGCTAAAACATAACTGAAAATAGTGGTTGGCACTCAGTGGTGGGAGTCAAATAATTTAACAACTGGTTCTCTGCCCTAATGGTTTCTTCCAACAACCAATTCACCAAACTGCTCAGAAAGTTAACAACTGGTTCTCCCGAAGTGGTACAAACTGGCTGAATCCCACCATTGGTTGCACTGTCCCCCCAAGAAGAGGTTCAGCCTGGGACAGAGTCAAGAAAGGAACCAGTCTGGGCTCCTTAACATTCCCACAAAGGATCTAAATCCAGGCCCTTTTGAATCCTGTTGACTCTTGTCTGGTGCCAATGTAGTGCTGACTGTTGGTTGACTAGATTGTTCTGTATAGGCAGGATCAATAAATCATCTTAACTGGTACTTAATGTGTGGACTTGATTCTTCCATCCCTGACATTTGTTCCTGAAACCCTCCAAAAACCGAAGATGAATGCAATCCCCCAAATGAAAAAAAAATATTGAGCTTAGGGATAAGAGTAAGACCACCAGTAATGGTCCAGCCCAATCCAGGGGCTGGTGTGTCCACTGCTTCTTAGATCAGTGGCATGAGAAGAAAAGGTTTACAAGAACATTTAAAAAATAATAATAACAGGGAGAGGAAGATAAAGTGAGTGAGTGAGAGAGAGAGAGAGAGAGAGAGAGAGAGAGAGAGAGAGAGAGAGAGACTGATAGAGGAAGCGCATGAGCTGAGTTCTTGCAATGCACTTCTATTTTCTTTTATTTATAGTTTCTCGTATAAGTCTAAGCTATTCAGCATCTTTAAGTAGACTAGTCGCTGTGTCAGCTTTTCTGTTCATTAATAGAAAAAGAAAAATAGGGATCACAACCAAAGGAGGGCTAAGGGGTGGGAGAAGACCAGTGGTGGGATTCAAAAAAATGTTACTACTGGTTCTGTGGGCATGGCTTTGTGGGCGTGGCTTGGTAGGTATGGCATGGTTTTGTGGGCGTGGCAGGGGAAGGATAGTGTAAAACCTCCATTCCCTCCCCATTCCTGGGGGAAGGTTACTGCAAAACCCAATTCCCTCCCCACCCCACTAACCTGCTTTCCAGCTCTGTTCTCCTGTGCAGGGCAACCAAAGAAGAGCCAGCCAATCAGCTGGGACTCGGGAGGTGGAGAATAGATGGGGGCAGGGCTAGTCAGAGGTGGTATTTGCAAGTTCTCCAAACTACTCAAAATTTCCACTACCAGAACTGGTCAGAACCTGCTGAATACCACCTCTGGAGAAGACCCAGTGACCAGATAGGAGACAGTGTTCCCACAAGACAGTGGCGGAACCAATTGGAATTACAAACTTCAACCACACATAATACAATAATTTCAGGCCACCTCCTCTATGTGCCTTCATGTACCCTCATGTTACCTGCATGCAGACTGAGACTTGACCATGCACTCTTCCCAGGCTCATATGCACATAGCCTCCTCAACTGTTTGGGAAAATCCCTGCCAGGCAGGAAGGACGGATTAAGCAGGGAACCAGCCTTGCATTTTTCTGTAGTGCACAAGAGGCATAAGCCTGAATCCTGCTAAGTTCCTTGGAACCTTATCTGGTTGTTGGTCACCACTTCACAGAAAAGATGTTAAGAGCAATATTGCCCTCTAACCACTGTGCCACCATGGCTCTCAAAAAATGGTCATAAGTCACTTTTTTCAGTGCCATTGTAACTTCATATGGTCACTAAACCGACTACCTGTACGTTAATTGCATGAAATTCAAGAGTTGATCTGTGGCACTTATAACCTTTTCCCCTTCATCTCCTTTGCAAGGTTGTTCCAAAGATAAAATCGGTTATCAATTCATATGTGTCAAGTTGTGATCATGGAAGGAAGGACAGCCTGGGTGATATAAAATTCCACCGCCTGGCTAAACTAGAGAGAGACATGGAGGGGGAGTTTCCTCCTTTATGCCACATGATTATAATTGTTGGCTTGCTATAAATAATGGAAATATATTTATTTAAAGCTATCCCTTGCGGAGGCCCAGAGCATGAATCAATAAACATAATGACATCATGATGTCACAAGAATATCCAATTTAACTAAAAGCAAACACACAGAGAAAGCAATAATGGCAGTATAAATAGGAGTTGAAAGGTTTTCTGAAGCTGGTGGCTTCTTCCAGATGTATTCAGCATTTCCAAGCACTTTCATCAAGGCGGAAAATCTGGATCTGTGTTTCTCAACCTTGGCCATTTTAAAACACGTAGACTTCAATTCCCAGAATTCCCCAGCCAGCCAAGCAAGTCACAACATGCTGGCCGAAAGGATACATTCCCTTTATATATTTTTTTAAAATTTTTATGCTTTCTTAACATTGATTTTAGAATCAATGTTGATGGCTTATATTTTGGTTAAAATTAGAAGCCCCCCAGAGAGGGCTGCTAATAGCAGAGTTGATCGAATAAGCTTTCCAAAGACACAAATGTGCAAATATGGCTAAAAGTTTATACATACTGTGTACATCAACGTCAAAGAAAAATAACATGCACGAGGAATATATAAAGCAAAACAACCCATCGTTTGCAGTCCATAATGGAAGAAAAAGGGCCCTTTTCACACAGAAGTATTTGTAGTTTTATAATGTCCAGAAAATATCAACAGTGAAGACGGGTGAGTGGAATAAAAGCAGAAAAAGAAATCTTGTATTTCTCTAGTAATGGGTGTGATGGATCCATCAGTCTGCTGTCTTCCTCATGTATTGGACTACGATGCCTCTTATTCTCCAAAGCACCACAGGGCAGGAGAAGAAGCAACTGGGGGTGGGGTGGGTGGGTGGTGGGTGGGGAGGAATCTTGTTAAAGAGAGGTCCAAACTAGAAGTAAGGAGACATTTTCTGATAGTGAGAACAATTAATCAGTGGAATAACTCCCCTTCAGAAGTTGTGGGTGCTCCAACACAGGAGGTTTTCAGAAGTAGATTGGACAACCATTTGACTGGGATCCTGCCTTGAGCAGAAGGTTGGACTAGTCTAGTAGACTTCCAAGGCGCCTTCCAGCCCTATGAATCCATGTTCTGTGTTCCTCACCTGTCACCTATGAATTCCTAATCCACATGAGTTTTCTAAACTGAACTTGGAAGTGTTAAAGTTTTGAAATGCATCTGAGGGACTACCGAAGACTGAGGTAGCTCCTCCGTGGAAGAAGCCATCTCCTTTCTGTATTTGCTCCTAAATGAGGTGCCGCTGTCGTCAAATAGGGTTCTCCTGAATGCAGCCCTTATGTTGTAAAGAGTCAGCTTTCGGTGGAAGTCGATGCCCATGAAAAAGTAAAGGATAGGGTTCGCACAGCTGTTGAGGTAGGCCAGGAAGGAAGAGAGTGGGAGGCCGATAGAAAGTCCTAGGCCTTTCACGTCGGCCAACTTGAGGAGGAGGAAGATGTGGTATGGTGCCCAGCAGAGGAAGAACGTGACCACAAGAACCAGGATGACCCGGAAGGGTTTCTTGGAACGGATGGAAGCCCGCCGTCTCCTCAGCACCACGACGATGATGCCGTAGCAGACCACAATGATGGCAAAAGGGGCCAAGAACCCACAAATCAGTCTCAACATATAGATAGCCAGCTTGGCAGTTTCATTTCCCTCCAGGGCAAAGGAGCACTTGGTCTTGTTAGACTTGTCAGTTTTTACGCCGCGGTAGTGGTAGAAAGGACTACTTGTGGCAATGGCCAAGAACCAAGCTCCGATGGCAGCGACCCATGCCAAGCGGCTGTCCCGGTGTCTTTTGGTCCATATTGGGTAGGCTACGCAAGTTGCCCGGTCTATGCTGATGGCAGATAAGAGGAAGACGCTGCCAAACATGTTGAGATACTTGATGAAGCTGTTGGCTTTGCATAGGAAGCTTCCAAAGGGCCACCCATTATCAAAAGCATTCTTCAAGAGGGGCACAATTCGGGTGATTGAGAAGAGAAAGTCAGCCAGGGCTAGGTTGAAGAACCAGACACAGCTGATGGTCCGTGAGGTCTGATGGGCTGTGATCCAAAGCACAGCTCCATTGCCCAGGGAACCAAGCAGAAAAAGAACGGCGTAGAAGAAGATCTGAAGCATGTCCATGAGCCGGCTCACATCCAACTTGGCATCCGAAGATGATGGCAAGGATGCATTGGACATGTACGGAGCGGTGAAATTAACATTCATGATGCAACAGGACTTTACAGAATGGGAGGATTAAGAAATCAGGTGGTCCTTCTCCGGTCAACAAAACCTGGAAAAGGAGAATCAATGTTTTAGGAAGTGTCCTTTTTTAAAATCTTTTTTTCCTGTCTTACTACTCTTATAGTCTAGTTTTGCGTCTTCCAATACATTAAAGTCTCCTACAACACAAATATTTTGATATTCCGTTTCTAATATCTACTTATGTAACTTTTGGTAAAAAAATTATTCTTGCTTATTATTCAGTGCATATATTATGTCAACTCATAAACTATTTCTATGGTCTTTTTAGAGTTGCCAACAGAAAGAGAGGGGGAAAGGGGTTTTTGAAAGATCAGTGCAGCAGCTTGGAAAGCGAAAGTGCATTTCATAAATAGTTTTCAAAGATAGTAACTAGGTGACTGAAGTTTCTGCCATGCAAAATTCTAACTGGAGAACATGATTGATGACTCTTGGCTATGGATGTGTCTCATTGGAGGATCAAGGGTGTGCGGGGGAAAACCAGGATCAAGGGTGACAATGAATTATGTGTCTCAGAGTTGGCTACACCCAGGCAATGCCGGACATGTTAACTCCCAATAAATCCTTTTGAAGTTTTGGAAGTTTGGCTCGAGACTCATGATTTAATTGGGGTAACTGCTGGAATCCTGACATATTGCTATCAAAAGTATCTGTTTTTGATTCATCTGTCAGCCAAAGCCTTGATCAATCTTGATTCAGATTCAGGGCTACCCAATACCCCTCTTTTCTTTTGCTATGCTGATGAAAAATATAATTTCCCAATTTTGGGACATTCCATTAATTTACAGTGCTGTCTTTTTTTTATATGAGTTTCTTGCAGGTGAATTATATCTCTTTTTAACTTTTGTAATTGTGTAAAAAAAAATCCCCTTTTATGGGGAAATTCAGTCCATTTATATTTATTGACAACATTTCATTTTATCCCTCCTTCTCCTTTATTTATGTATAGGTTTTATTCTCCTAGTTGTTCTTGTCTGTCTCTGTTCTTTTACCTTTGCTCCTTCTTGATCTGCCTTTTCTGTTTCTCCTTCTTCTGGTCGTATATTTCTCTCTTCTACTGTTGATTCCTCCTGTCCTTTATATTCCAATTCTCCTCTTGTTTCTTTTCCCTCAGTTGTGTCACTGTGGCTATCCCAGAGGGAATTTTAGTTGACTGGAATGATAAAAGATACAGACTGGACTTGATAGATAAGGCAATAGAATTTTATGATAATCATATTGACACAAATGAGAATCAATGTTATTTGATTTACAATTTTGACAACAGCAAGCCAAGATATATATAGGCCATGCATGTTCTCTCCCATGTGGTGCTCCCTAAATTCATCACTAGATGGTAGGATTTCAGCATCTCTAATCCAACAACTGGGTGAACTAGTGACAAAGGAACTTTTGCCAAGCTCAGGGGAATCACCAGACATGGTCAAAAAGAGGAAGGAAGAAGGGGGTGCTATCCTCCTCTGTATCTACCCTATAGAAATATAGGGTACTTCTGCATTTCCCAGGGGTTCAAAGAATGAAACTGCTGACGGTGCGAGCAGATGGTTTCGGATAGTGGCAGCTTCTCCAAAGTCAGAAATTTCAATTCAAAGGTCAGAGGGTCATTAGGAATTCTTGGGGAGCAGATGACTTACATTGTTGAATGTCCAGCTGTAGCACCCAATGCTTCTAAACACTTCTATAATATTTATCTACCATTTTAATATGGCTGCCCATCTCACAAAGTGTTTCAGGGCTACGTACAATAATAAATTAAAACAATAAATATATTAAAACACTCATCATTAAAAAAATATATATTTAAAAACTAGAAAGCCCAAGAGAGAAGAATGTGAACTTTGGCACTGGAGCTACCTCAAGATCATACCAGTTCTCTGAAATTCTCAGATTTAGCCAGATCTTGAAGGTCTTCTGGTATATTAACAGGGATGGAGCTCACCTCACTTTAAGGAAGAGAATGTCTCATAAGGCAGGCGCCATGGCAAAAAAGGACCATCCCCTGGGACCCCCAGATATAATTTCCTAACAAAAAGGACCTGCACCTCAGATCTAATGGACAGACATATGCAGTGGTGGGATTCATTCAGCCAGTTCACACCACTTTGAGAGAACCGGTTGTTAACTTTCTGAGCAGTTTGGTGAACTGGTTGTTGGAAGAAATCATCAGGGCAGAGAACCAGTTGTTAAATTATTTGAATCCCACCACTGGACATACGTTAGGCCAATGTCAGGTGTTAGACATAATGTTAGACAAGCGTCTTCATAGATCCAGGGTCTGCTCCTATACTTGAGTACTTTTAATTATCAAAGATCTTCCATTCTTTTTTTTTTAAGGGTGGGAAGTGAACTCAGGTAGAGAAAAATCTGTAGAATTTTTCAGTCATCCAGGTCAAGTCTTTGACTGACTTTTAGCTATACAATTTGGGATGAACACCCCTTTGAATGGTATGGGAGGACAAATGGATTTCCAGAGGAAAAATTGCAGGCTACGGGAACCAGGACCACCACTTGGGTGAGGGCACAGATAAACCTCCAAGTGCTTCAACGACCCTCTAAAAGGATGCAAATGACCAGCCGTCTGAAAGGAATTACAATACTTCCATTCCCCACTATCCTATCAGAGCTGAAGATGCTTTTTGGATGAGAAGCGAAACGTCTTCAAAAGTAAAAACAAGAAAGTCCAATTGCTTCCTGGAAAAAGGCACCTTTGGGTCAGGTAGGGAAAGTTAAGTTAATTAACTTTAATTGACTTTGGAATTTCTAGTTCTTTGGTAAAATCTCTTCCAATTAAACTACTTGAACACCTTGTGAAGAGAAATGTCCCATATTTTTGTGTACATTGCACAATGGGGGCGGTGCCACCAAGCTCCAGCATTCCCACAAGTACGCTGATATTAGAAAGTGTACACCTAGCTCTAATCAAACTGTTTTCCAATCCAGTCCAGCTGCTAAAGTCAAGTCAGCAAATCACACTGGACTACAACTTGTCTGGTTATCACAATCACGTACTTTGTAATGCACAACCACAAGACGACAAACTTCATTCTTGGGTGGCTATAAAACTGGTGAAACATGACAAGAGCAGAACCCATCTCTTGAGACAAAGCAAATCAAAACACACCCACCCCAAATTTTGACAGTCTAGAAACAATGTAGACAAGGACAAAACTGTTGTTGTTCTGGAATTCTCACGGTTCCCCCGAAAAGGTGGGGTGTCCTGGATTAAACCCTGAAATTACCTGTTTTAGGCTGCAGGAATTACGTCTTTTGTATTTCTCTGGGCTCCCTTTTCAAGAAAATGCAGATTTCTTGGCTGCCGCTTAGTTTCTCCGCCTGGCTGTGATTTTGGACCTCATCCAAAGTCAAGATTAACTCCTGCCGAAAAGAGGAACTTGAAGAAAACCTCTTCCTGCTGGATGCGATCATGCAGAATCTCTTCACTGTTGAAGTTTCGTCCCCTGACTGGAACAATTGTGTCTATGCCAGGCTGGGAAAAATGATGGGCAGCCTCATCGCAACTGCCAATTCTGCAGAACCAAGAATGCTCCTGAAATAATTCCCCCAGAACCAAGGGGACGAAGAGTCGAAAAATGTTGTCGGATGGAAGTCTTTGAGAGGAGTGCCTTTTAATAAGGGAGGGCTGCTCTTGTGGTGGCTTAAATGGAATTCACTCGACATACGTCATGTGCATGGATCGAGCAGGGTGGTTGGGGTGTGAAAAGCCACCCTGCAGCCACCACAAAAAAGTGAAGCCTCTGCTCAAGTGTCTTTGTTGGGTTCCTTCTGATTTATTTCTGAAGAACAACATGATTTACCGAACGCCCGTGATTCAAGAGAGCCCTTTCACATATTCCGGGCTACACTTTCCAAAACAAGTGTGTCACTCACAACCTCTGGCAAGCCATGCAGAGCATATAGGACCCGTTGCCCTTATCTTGGAAGCTTCAGGAATGGTTGGAGATGGTCTCACCTGCCCAAACGCTTCAAGACTTGCTGAGTCTTCAGACTCTGTCACCTCCTCTGAAAAAGAACCACCGGGGAAGTCCTTGCAATCTGCTGATGTGGCTTGGAATTGGGAATGACTGGTTGATGCTCCTCAGGCTGCTCTTCAGCCATCTAAACGAGTTGCATCTTGTTGCTGGAGAGTCAAGGGTTGGGCGAACAAGTTCTCCTGATCTCTCAACTCAAAGCAACTTATTGGCGGGGTTCACACGTACAGGAGTGCCTCCATTAATTTGACTGTTTGGGTTGAAGGGAGGTGCTTTAGATCCAAATGTTCCTGGTTCTAGCTCGCCCTCAGCCACAAGAATGAATTTAGACCAGTCTCTCTGCATCTTGACACCATCTTCAATTGCCAAGTGCCTGAACTGTGTGACCATGGGAGGGTGGGATAGTCGTAACTTCAAGAATGGGTTTTAAGTCATTTTTTCCACTGTCATTAAGTGAAAAGTCATAAGTTGAGGACTACCTGTATATCAGCCCCTCCTCTAGCTTTCTAATCACCCAGATCCCACCTCAGCAGTGTTCCATGCAAGAAATTTCCTTCCTTCCTTCCTTCCTTCCTTCCTTCCTTCCTTCCTTCCTTCCTTCCTTCCTTCCTATCAGTCT